GTGGAAGGCACTACCTACCCACTGTACTGTCTCTCCAGCCCCTAGAATAGAATGAAGTTTTTTAAGGATCTAAATTATCTTCTGGGGGCTGGAGTGATAGTACAGAGGTTAGGGTACTTGCCTTGTACATGGCCAACCAGGGTCTGACCCCTGGCACCCCATGTGGTTCTTTGAGCCTGCCAGGAATAACTCCGGAGCACAGAGCCAGGAGTAAGCCCTGAACACTGCCAGTGTCCAAAAACAAACAAAAATGATCTTCTTGGTGATTTGACTAAGGTGTTCACAAGTAGATGTTTCATTTTTGCTGCCACTGCAGTGCTGGGGCTGGGGGGTCCAGAGTACTAGTGACTGACCCTGGGCCTCATACATGCAAGGTATGTACTATACTACTGAACCACTAATTCCCGCCCAATTTTTATTGCTGGGTCACATCCAGCGGTGGGGCCTACTTCTGTTTCAAGGGCTGGGAAGGATGGTCATGGTCATTCCTGGTGGTGCTTTGAGGAACAAGCAGGGTTGAGACTAAGCAGGGCTAGGTCTCCTGCACACAAACCTGTGTAACCCAGCTAGTTTAACTTGCCCTCTGCCCTCCCTCCAAATTTTGCAAAGTTACAATAAGAGAAGCTAGACTAAAGATTGTAGTAACAGTAAAATGTTACAGTGTTTCCAATTACCATTGGAAGGCCAAACAAGCTACTTGTGAAACTAAGGTTTAAGAATAAATAGAAGATATTGTTGCTACAAGCAGTACCCAGTAAAACTCAGGCATTCATGACTGCAGGTTACTCAGTCACATATTGATTAGAGTTATAAAAAATATAACTTCATAACTACAGGTAATATTTCTAATGATGCTAGTGCTTTACAATGTAGAGTTCATTTTCAGGATCAACAAGAAGTCTTTCTGAATCACAGTGCTTTGTAACCAACAAAAACGTATACTGACTTATTTACATTCCTCACAACAATAGACTAAGGCGCTAGACTTCATGGTGCTGAAACAAGCCACTGGTTGCCACTATTGCCACACAAGAGTTCCAAATGCTGGCCCAAGTCTACTTCTGGCCCAGAGTAGAGCATAGGAACGTAACTGTGTGGACATAAGAACACTGAGCTGAGGTGGCACCTCAGAAACTCCCAAGCAGGAGGAAGATTTGAATTCTTACTGGAAAACTCGGTGTTCTTGAAGATCTCCCTGAAGGCCAAGACAGTATCAACTGTATTTGAAAGAAGAAAAAGAGAGAGAAGAAGGGAAGCAAAATCGCTCTTTGGGCGAAGAGAGTAAATAACAGCACAAACATAAAAGTTCCCAGCCAGGTTACCAAGATGCTTTAGGTACCCAGAAACATAAACCAAACTGAACAGGGGGAATCTTATTGGGCAAGTTCGATCTGATTAAGGTTAGTTATGTGGCTTTGTTAACATCAACAGTCTATAGAAAGTAGAGAGGCAGGTTAGCACCGACAGGTTCTAGAAACTATCGAAAAATAGTACTTGATATAAATACAATTTTTTGGTATGTTTCTTGATCACACCCTGTGGGGCTCAGGGGTTACTCCTGGCTCAGTGCTCAGGGGACATGAGGTACCACAGATCACACCCCGGCCTCCTGCATGTAAAGCATATGTGCTAGCATATTAAAGTTATCTCTACAGCCTGTGAATCTGTATTATTAACTGAAATTAATAATTTGCTCGAGCGGGCCCAGTAACGTCTCCATTGGAGACTTTGTTGTTACTGTGTTTGGCATATCGAATACGTCACGGGGAGCTTACCAGGCTCTGCCGTGCGGGCAAGATACTCTCAGTAGCTTGCCAGGCTCTCCGAGAGGGGCGGTGGAATCGAACTCGGGTCGGCCATGTTGGCTGCGTGCAAGGCAAATGCCCTACCCAACGAAAATCATCAAGTTCGCAAATTTAGTGGAATTTCATCTGACAATTCAGCTCAGCTGGTGGATAAACATGGATGAGAGACAACTTAAGAGTCAAACTTTTATCAAGAGAGGGGTAGGGACGCTCAAGTTCTGCACCATATCCCTATCCCCTGTTAGAGCTATGCAGACAAGGTTCTTTACTCACAAAAAGGATTTCATGAAAGAGTGCAGCAGAAGCAAACACATCTCAATTAGTTGAAAAACTCAAAGCAAATCTATAAAAGCCATGTTAAATGGAACAAGTTGTCCAAAACATGTTTTTGACTTGAGATCTACATTAAAGGAAGTAATTTCCGTGTAACAATGTATCTGATCTTTCCAAGTGAAAAGAAATTGTCAAGGGGCGTGGACAGAGTATGGAGTTGGGGCTAAGAAACTTGGCTCCACTTATGGTCCCAGAGGACCATCAAGAATGAGCCTGACCACAGAGCAGGAGGAACCCCCAAACACCAGAGGATGTGATTCCAAAGCCCAATTTTCCCACACCCCCACCCCCAAAAAGAGAAGCTGCAAACAGTACCCGACTTTATAACTAAAACTTTCGGCATAATAAGAAGTTGATTTTACTTAAATGTCTTAAAGACTTTTTTATATAAAGAGAAAGGAGTCAAAAGACAAACACAAAATGAAACCTATTTGGTTTAAATTTGAAAGATAGGGGCCTGAGTAATAGTAGAAAGGGTAGGGTACTTGCCTTGCATGAGGCTCACCCTGGTTCTGTCCCCAACATTCCGTATAGTTTTAGAGCACGGTCAGGAGTAGTTCTTGAGTGCATAGCCAGGAGTAACCCCCTTAGCACTGCCAGGGGTGTCCCCCAAACAAAACAAATTTAGATGATAAAGAGGGAAACTTCCATGAAAATCAGAAATATCTGAAACATGCATTATTTGAAATCATGTTACAGTTTGGTCAGATTTCAAAGGTCAGAAAAGAAACATCTTAAACTGGCATGAGTTTTCTGAAAGCTTTGTAATCTGGGAGTTTTAAGTGAAAGTTAAGAATTCTGAATTTGTTTTGTTTTTGTGGGCCACATCTGGCTGTGCTCAGGGCTTATTCCTGGCTCTGCTCTTACCTATCAGTTCTATTGGGTTTAGGGTACCATACGGGGTGCCAGGGATCGAACATGGGTCCGCCATGTACAAGGCAAGATACAGACATTACTCGCTGTTCTATCTTTCAGCTCTGTGTTCTACTGATTTAAAACATAAACATGACACATTCACATATTCATTCTCACCGTGTGAGCCCATGTGTGGCAGAAAAGCAACTTCCATTTTAAGATTCATTTCATCATTCTCTGTTGCCCATACACAACTATCCTTTGGTCATTTCCTCGAATTCGCTCTGGTTTCACACATAAACAGAAAAACATCATGGCAAACTCCAGTGAAAGTTCTATCAGTTGTTGCTAGTGGCTAGCATCCTGTCTGACTTTGCTCTGGCCTCGGCCGGGCACAGAACTTGATGCCACTAATAGTCTCAGATGTGCTCATTAAAATGCTCACGAAACCACCACCATGGATTAAAAAGTCATTACACCCACAAGCACACTGAAAGTTCTAAACCAATAACACTTCAACTAAAATGAAATCCTACATTTCTTAATGTTGTAACACAAAAGAGTTGATAGCAACATGCATCCATGATCACCACCTGAAAAACTAAATAAATGTCGAGAAGATTCAGGTACATTCTTATTCTGGAATTCCCTGCATCCCAATCTGGGATGTGTATTTCCTCTTTAACTTTATGGCATTTCTCTCTGTTTCTGTCTGTCTGTCTGCCTGTCTCTCTCTCTCTCTCTCACACTCACCCCACTCCAAAGCAACACAATTTTATTTCAAAACAATGCTTTTAAAGATTCATTACCTGGGTACAATTCTTAATAAGCAAACTTATACAAAAATTCTAAAGCTGTCTTAAAACACGAATGCCAGTTGTGCCGGCTGTAGAGTAACCCTTCTTCCTGGGCAGACCATAAGGGAATAAAGATTATTTCCAGAAACATGGTCAACTATACTCAACTTGTATTTGACCCCGCAGTCATCTGTCCTTATTTGCCCTGTGAAAAATAAACAGCTATATCATGCCTTTCTGGACACTCAGTAGGTTTTATTTACAATGCTTTTAAGACAGGAGACAAAAGACATCCCTTTACAATTCTTTTTTGGCAATCTGTTTTGAGAGGAATAGGACACACACATTCATATACAAACATAAAAACCTCCCTATAAAAACATACAAAACAAGTAGACAAATACAGCCTCCTTAAGTACAAACTCATAAACTGACCATCAGCCCCGACACAGAACTTAGCGCTGCAATGAAGAAAAAAATCATCATTAGCCTGAAAGAAGAAAAAAAAGAAAAGGCAACCCCCCCCCCCCCCACACACACACACTATCACCAACACAGAAACCGAGGCAAAGAGAAAAAGAGCAAAATAATAATCACCGGAAAAACCTGTGTCTTGTAAAGATTTCTTCCCATCAGAAGATGCAGAAACATTTTTCCCCCCTGGTGCCAATAATGCAAATGGTCTTTCAGGCACCCCCAAGATGCTTCCTCGCTCTTGCACCCCGCCAGGCGCCGGTGTGGACGTCCCGGTTGGACTTTTCCCCCAAGATGAGAAGTCGAAATGTGTACTTTCTCGGGCAGGGGTGCACTTTTCCCCCCGGCCCCCCTCTCCTCTGCCTCCAAGATGGTAGGAAAGTTGTCGTTTCCGAGGGCAGAGGAGCTGCTCTCTGGTGTTATGTCCTCGCGGTGCCTGTAGTGGTGCTGTAGGAGGCTGCTGCCTCTTCTAGTGCAGCCCCGGCAGCCCTGCCTTCTTGGCTGGAGAGTATATTCAGGGATTTCCCCTTAATAATCACCGACCCCGGGAGCACTTTTGAGTTTCCAAAATAAAAATATGATCCTCACCCCTCTTGCTTGACCGGGAAAGGCTCTCGCCGGAGCCCGGGGGGGTGGAAAGCAAGTTAGCCGCGGCAAGCCGAGAGCTTCCTAGTCCACTGGCAGCGCCTCTCACTCTGATCTGTCAGCCAGGCCGAGGGAAAAGGGGGGAAGGAGGAGAGAGGAAAAAAAAAAAAAGCGGCTGAAAGGTAAGCAGAGGCGGCCCCCAGGCCCGGCCCACATCCCCGGGCTCCCGTAGGGCGGCGGGCTGGGCCGCGCAGGCAGGGCGGGCGGCGAGCGCGCTTACGTGAGGCCGGGGATTCGCCGGCCCGCGCCAGGCCCCGGGCGGAGAATGAAAGGGTGAGAGGGGCCGGCGCCCGGGGTGGCGGGGGGCCGGGGGGCCTCGGGGGCCTCGGGGGGCGCCCGCGGGCGGCCGCGGCGGGGCGGGGAGCGGGGTGGCGGGGTGGCGGGATAGGGGGGGGGTCCCGCCCGGGCCGGAGCGAGGCGGACGGCGCGGCCTGGCGCGGGCCGGGTTGGGGGTGTGCGGCGGAGGGGGTGGGGTGGGGAGGGGGACCCGGCTAGGCCTCCGGTGGGTGGGGGGGGGCCCGCGGGCGGCCGCCCCTCGGCCCTGCACCCCGGGTGCCCCCCCCCACCCCCCACCCCGAGGGGGCTCCGGGCGGGACGGCGGCGCCGCGGGGCGGAATCGTGCGCGGGCCCGGAGCTTTTTTTTTCCCCCGGCGGCGGAGCGCGGCCAGGCCCGGGCCTGGGAGTGGGGGGTGGGCGCCCGGAACCTCCCGGCCCACCGCCCGTCTCGCCCACCCATTTCGGTAACACTGGAATTGATCTCCCCCCCCGCCCCTCTCCCCCCCCCTCCAGCCGCCCCCCACCCCCGTAACCCTTTAACCCTTTACCCCTCCTCCCCCCCCCCCACCCCGTGCGCTCCGGGCGGCCCTGGCCGGGGCGGGGCGGGCAGGCGGGCGGCCTGGCGGGCGTGGGGTGCGGGGTGGAGGGGCGGTGAGGAGTCAGGTGCAGCCGCGGCCCGGAAAGTTTCCTTGTAGGCCCCGATTTGGGGTGTGTGTGTGTGGTGGGGGGGTGCTGCCCTCCTTTCGGGGGACGCCTCGGTTCCTAGCGCTCGGGACCCCCCCTCCTCCTGCCCTCCACCCGAGAAGGCGCGCGAGGGGGGTGGGGTGGGGTGAGGTGAGGTGGGGGGCGAGCACTCGGCTATTTGGAAACTCCGGGCCAGTTCCTGTCCATTGAAGGTACTCCGTCCTGCACCCCTCGCCCGCGCCCCACCCCGCGCCCCGGCTGCAAACTCCAGCCCCAGAGCCCCCCTCCAGCCGGGGCTGGGGGTGGGGGTGGGGGGGACACCGGGCCTGCTCCTTGCCGTTGGAAAAGTTTTCCAAGGCTTTTTTTTTTTTCCTCCTCCTGAGCTCATTAGTTCGTGACTGGCCTTTTTGCAGTGGGAAGGGAGGAGGTACGTTCAGGTGGGATTTCTCCCAGCGAGGCTTTTCCGATCGCCTTTTTTTTCTTTTTTTAAAGCCCCAACCCCAGAAAGGCGGGATGTGCTTTGCCACTTTGCCCCCCTTCCCCATCCGCTTGTCCCCCCCCCCCCCCCCGGGGACTCCTGGAGAGAGAAAGGTAGTTGGGGGGGGGGTCGTCTCCAGCGCCCCTCCCCCCTCCGGGGCACCCGCTCCCGGGTAGGGGAATAGATGGGGCGAGCAGGGAGAAGGGAAAGGGGGCCGGATTTCAGGAGCACCCCCCACCCCGACAGAGCAGTTTCCTGTCCTGTTTGGTCACTCTCCGGTAAAAGAAACACGTGAACGGAACCCCGGGGCGGAGGGGGTGTGGAGGGACCCTGGTTGTCAGAAAGCTGGAAAGCCTTAGAAATTAGAGGGAGGGAGGGAGGGCGAGAGGTGGGCAGGGCAGCCCTGAAACCGGGTCTCCAGTCCGCGGACCCGGCGTCTATTTTATTCTGATAATAAGGACTTGAGTGTGTGTGTGTCACATAGCCTCTTGTATTGGACCCTAGAAATAAGGAAAACAGGTTTTTAGGGAAACTTGTGCTTGCCATTACTCAGGGGTTCCTCCCCCCCGCCTCCCGGGGAGGAGCCCCCAGGGAGCTGAAAGCTGCTGACTTTGGTTGGGGTATGTGCCCCCTTTCTCTGTGTATTCCTTTTTAGTTAAATTTGTGGGTTTTGAAAGTCAAGCATAACTCTCTCTTTCTCTCTCTCTCTCTCTCTCTCTCTCTTTCTCCTCTCTCTTTCTCTCCTCTCCTCCCCTCTCCCTCTCTCTTTCCTCCCCCCTCCCCCCAGGCACACACATGTAGAACACTGCAAATTTCAAATCTAGATTTCCTGATTCTCAGGGATGGGATATTTCCTGTGGCAACACTTCCCTCCTCCCGGTTGTCCGTTTTGTATAGAGTTTGGAGTGCTGGTGGTATATGAGATTGACATGAAATGTACTCTGTGCCCCCTCCTCCCCCTTCCACCGGTGTGCGCCTTTTTGCAGCAGTTACCTTTCCTCTCTCATGTATTTGCTTCCCCTTTTAAAATTTTTTATTTATGGGGGGACGGGCAGGTTTGGGGCACACCTAATAGTGCACAGGGGCTGTATCTGGCTCTGGTGCTTAGGAGTACGCCCCTGGCCATGCTCAGGAGAGCAACCATGTGCAAAGCTGGGTTGCACTAACAGTGGCTGCTTGCAAGACAGGCACCTTACCTCTTGTACTCGCTCTCTCCTGCCACCTCCCCGCCCACTTTCTTTTTGTAGTGGACCTGGGGCAGAGTGGTGGGTGGCTGTATGTCCTGCCTAGAGAGCAGACTGGAATCAGTTTGCAGAGGTATTCTACGGTCAGACCGCCCCGACGGGACACGCTTACCCAGAGAAAAGCTGGCAGTGGCAGAGCAGTGGCTAGATAACCCCAAGACTTGGTCAGTGCTAACTAATGAGCAGGGTGGAAGTGAGGTTCCTTCTGTGATTCTTATTAAACTGCCTTTTTTTCCCTTTGGTTTGCCTAAAATGAAACTCCTTCTGTTTCTCCATGATATATATTCAGTCTTTTAGCATTTTACTTAAGGAAAACTTGAATTTAAAATTGTGTGGGTTTAATATAAGATGCAGATTCCATTTAATGGTGGTTTAACTTTATTGATTAATTGAAATTACTTATTGACTTGGACGTTTTCTTATGCCTGCATACCAAAAATTGTGAACTTCTATTATAGTCTGTCCTTATTTTTAGATCATATTGGATGGAAGTCATCCAAAAGCTTTGTACGTTTTTTTCACCCTGTCCCAAACACATACTACTTTCCTCATTGAATTGCCTTAGAGGTTACTTTATTCTGAGAGAATGGTGGGTTTGGTTTTCTCTGTTCGTTTATTTGGTGTGTGTGTGGGGGGGGGACACACCTGGTTCTGTGCTCAGGGATCCCTTTTAGTAGGACTCAGGGCACCTTATAGAGTGTGGGGGAATCAAACCCGGTTCAGCTACGTGCAAGGCTAGCACCCTGTACACTGTACTATTCCTCAGGCATCTAGGTTTGCTATTCTTGAAGCTACATTTTATTTGAAAATAGTAAAAAAGACTTTCAGGGATGTTGAATTAATTGTAATCACTAAAGGAAATTCTTTCTCACTATTACATATTTAGTTTCAAAATTAGGTGTTCCTTTTAATTTGTAAGTCTGAAATCATCTAGTTTCCTTTTTTTCTGAAAGATTCTATAAGGAAATTTGTGAACAGGGCCTTCAACCGTTTTTCTCCACAAACCATTTTGCTATTAATTTTAAAGAAATGGAAGTTTTAATTTAAGTAGATTAAAAGATGTGTAAGTTTGTTTTTGACCACATCCAGATGCTCAGGGGTTTACCTCCTGGCTCAGCACTCAGGATTTATTCTTGAGGAACCATATGATCCATTCATTCATTCCTTTTTTTTTTTTTTTTTTTTTTTGCTGTTTGGGTCACACTCAGCAATGCACAAGGGTTACTCCTGGCTAATGCACGCAGGAATTACTCCTGGCGGTGCTCAGGGAACCATATGGGATGCTGGGAATCGAACCCGGGTTGGCTGCGTGCAAGGCAAACACCCTACTCGCTGTGCCCTATCGCTCCATTCCAATCCATTCATTCTCTCTGGGCTGGCTACTCTCTGCTGTCAGATTTTGGAGCAGTAGTGCTGGATAATGACTGGTCACCTGTATCTGAAAACAGCAAGAAAACTGTTCTCAGCCAGGAATCTTCCCTCAACATATACCTGGTGGTTTTCAAACAACAAATGAATAGGCGAGACTGGATTGGAAGGTGCAAGTTGTCCCCAGCAAATTGGCCCCACAGCAGACACTCCTCTGCATGTCCAGTGGAGTCAGGCCAAGTCCACTTAACTCACGCTAATGCAGCTCTGCCTGGGGGAGCCAACCACAATGGAGGCTTCTTCCCGCTTCAGATACAGGTTCTTCTGCAGGCCCTGACTCTTAATAGCTGATTTTAGACAATGTTGACAATGTTCCTGGCTATTTTGAGACACTTGCAAAAGATACTCTTGAGTTTGGTTGATGTAAGAACCTCAGTTTTCTCTCTTCCCTCCTTGCATTGAAGATAACAGCCTACTTCTTACTCTTTCCCAGAATGTTGCTTTTTTTTGGGGTGGGGGTTGGTAGGGGCAAGGGAAAAGGGAGACACAGCTAAGGGGAATGTCTCTCCTGGCTGTGTTCAGGGCCTACTCCTGAATCTGTGCATAGGATCATTCCTGGCAGGGCTTAGACAGTATTGGGTGCTGGGGACCAAAACCTGGTGGGCTACGTGCAGGGCAAACACTATCCTTCTGTGCTATCTCTCTGACCCCATGTTTGTTTTTTTGAAATAGCTTTTAGATTAAATTTTTTCTTGTAGCATGGAACCTGCAGTGAGCTACATTAGGATTAGACTTTGGGTTTGATGACCACTCTTGTAATAGTCACTTTACTCAGTCTCTTTTATTTCTTTATCTTTGAAATGGAAGAAACCTATTTTTTCCCCCCTTTTTAAATTGTGGGAGGGCCAAGCGCACTTGCCAGTACCATCCAGGACCTCCTGCTGTAAGGTGTATGCACTACCTTTTGAGCCTTGGAACGGAAAGAAACCTTTCTGATTTTAGGATTGAATGAGCTAGCTCGATGCTTGGCTCATAGTATATGTCCTAGTCTATACATACTTTACTATCAGCACTATCTAAATAGCATTTCTCTCCTTTCTGCTTGCTTATTTATTCCTTCCTACCCTCCCTCCCACCCCTCCTCCCTCCCTCCCTCCCTCAGTCCCTCCCCCGCTCCCTTTCTTCCTTCCTTCCTCACTTCCTTCCGCGCACCTGGCAGTGCT